GTGGTGGTGTCAGCAGCAGTGGTAGTACCCTCAGCGTTTGTTGTCTCGGCGGTGGTGGTATCCTCGGCGGTGGTGGTTGTACCTTCAGCAGTTGTGGTGGTTTCAGCAGCAGTGGTAGTACCCTCAGCAGTGGTTGTAGTATCGGCAGCAGTGGTGGTGGTGTCAGCAGCGGTGGTAGTGCCCTCAGTAGTAGTACCCTCGGCGGTGGTGGTACCTTCAGCAGTGGTTGTGGTGTCGGCAGCGGTGGTGGTGGTGTCAACAGCGCTCGTATCAGCGGTAGTAGTGCCGGCAGCACTTGTCTCGGCAGTAGTGGTACCAGTGGCGCTTGTCTCACCCGCACTTGTCTCAGTAGCGCTAGTCTCCGAGACAATCACTGTAGCCAGGGTGGTAGAGCTCTCCGAGACAACAGGGACGGAGTAGTCCGTGCTGGTAGAAACAGCAGCAGTCTCGGTAGCCGTGGAGGAAGCGATCTCAGTGGAGGAAGAGACCGCAGCAGCAGTGGTTGTTGTGCGAGGCCTGCAGGGGCCAGCGGCAGCGAAACTGGCAAAGGCCAGGCCCGCAAAGGTAAGGACCGACTTCATGTTGGTAAGGAACGTGATGATTTTACAAGTAAAGAGTGACTGGGAAAATGAATGAAAAGAGTGAGTGGATGAACGGGTGATCTACAGGGCGGGACTGGGATTGTCTACTGCTATATAACCACAGCTTCTTATCTACAGCCATGTTAAAGAGGCGTTTGCTAAGCATTGCAATTTCTTCGCTGCCGTCCAACAATGACTCGTCTTTACGAGACTAATATAACCATACTGCGCCAGGCTGAAAACTTCAGCTGCTGGTAAAATTGCGACTGTGATTTGGCTGAGCTAACAGTCACGCTGTACTCCGCGTACCCCGTATTCCTCTTGGCATCGGCTCACGTTTTGTTTCCTTGCAAGGTTCAAGGATGTTGGATCTAGCTAGCTGCTCATCAAAGACAGAAGCTAGCAACGGTCATCGCGGTTTGTACAGCTAACGACGGATGGTAGGGCAGTGGTCTGGGCCCGCCTCTGAAAGAGTAGAAATAAACCTGAGACCCGGTTACTGGTCGAAATTTACGTCATGGCGTTTACGTTTGTGGGTAGACCAATAGGGAGTTGGGGGGACCTGGTTTAGTGCACTTATTTATGCACAGACTGTAATTTCTAGATCGTTAGCTCGAGGACCGTTGAGGCTTGAGCTGCCCCTTTACCCTACAGCTGCACAGCCCAATGAGATGAAAAGAGCTACACACTATTGAAACTAGTGCCTGGATCCGTCTCTCAGCTGGCAGCCTGGCTGCATCGTTACTGTCAACCTTCACGCCTTTTTTTGGTAGCTATTTTCGTATCAAAACAATAACGCGACTTTCACAAGTAATCACGCGTTGAATTCATCAATGAGGCGCAGCCTCTAGTGTCTTCACTAGGCTCACAATCTTGCAATGCCGAAGCCTGAACCAGATTTCTGTACCCCCAGCATTGACCTAGTGATATCTTTAATTGCCGCAGCGCCACTCAGCACCATTGTGCGCCAAAGCTCTCTTTCCAGGATATTCAACACTGTTTCTGCCCCCTGTTGCCCATTCACGGCTAGACCCCATAGCGCTGACCGTCCCAACAAACAAAGATCTGCCCCTAAAGCTAGGGCTTTGAAGACGTCTGAGCCCTTACTAATCCCACCGTCAAATAGAACAGGAATACGGCCCTTTACAACGCCAGAAACCTCAGGCAACACTTCAAGTGTCGCTGGAACGCTGTCGAGTTGACGACCGCCGTGGTTCGACACGATGATAGCGTCGACACCAGCCTCTATTGCTAAGAGGGCGTCTTCAGCTGTGAGAACTCCTTTGAGAATAATCTTCATGGTTGTTTGAGATCGTAGCCAGGGTATTGTTTCTGTCCACGTCAGAGCTGAGTCGACAAGGAGATCCGAATGCTCTCTCTCAATCTTAGCAGCCTCTTCTGCAGTCTCAGCGTTCAGAATTAATCGACCCTTCGATGCGCCACCGCCTTTGATGGTAGTCATGTTAGCCATACTCAAGTCAGACGGCAACTTCAACGGATTCTTGCGTTCGTGCAGGCGATTCCCCATGGTCATCGTATCCGCTGTCAGAACGAGAGCTTCATAGCCCGCTCGTTCGGCCCGCTTAATGAGCTCTTTTGTTATCTCGCGGGAACGAACAAAATATAGTTGAAACCATGGTTTGGGGTACTTGGCGTCGCGTTGAGGTAGGGCTCGGGCGACGTCTTCCAGGGATGTTGTCGCGTTGGAAGACAGACAAATATTGGTGCCACGGGCAAAAGCGGCTTGGGCGACGTCTATCTCGCCATTGTACCCGGCGAGCCGCTGGTATGCGCTTGGTGCGATGGCTATGGGTATATCATAGTGTTTTCCGAATATCCGTGTCGAGGTATCAATTGAAGATACATTTCGAAGAATGCGTGGACGGATAACAAGACTGTACGGAGTAGATGTAAACTTATTAGTGCTCTTCTCCACAAGGGAGCTGTGATAAGCTGATAAGGTCACGGTGTTTGGTCAGCTCTAGGGTAGTAGCACTCACGTTTTGTACACCTCTTGATTCCGCAAAGTTGTCAGTTGATCATCAGCTCCATCAGAGTAATAGCGCCAGACGTATGCCGGTAAGCGCTTTTGAGCCAAGGCTTTTATCTCGTCGACCGTGATGGGTTTTTCGTTCTTTGCTTCCATTTTAGTTTTACGATTAGCCGAATAGTTGGGTCTGGCTTCTGAAAGGAAAGGCTTTGGAGATGAAGATGGGAAGATGCATTGCAACAATATTATTGTAGAAACACCACTCGGCTAACTTTGATTACAATTGAACGATGCCGAGTTGATTTGGCCACTGGCCTTCAACTGAGTGCATCTGCCACTGAGAATTGAGCGTCGCGGAATGTCCGATGATGAGCTCCGTTAGCTTCGGGCGGAGTCCGCGAGATCTTCCCCGCATCTCGCGGACCCACGCCGAGATCATCGGTCCTCAATACGTTTTCATCATGCATACAGTGAACGAATGACAAGGTTGAAGTCGCTCTACATGCGCCTCAATGACCGAACAGAGACTATTCGCCTGCGAGCGATGTTCACGTCGTAAACAACGATGCGATCGCACAATCCCCGTTTGCCAACTATGCCAAGAAGCTCAAGCCGAATGCATTGGGTCGGCGTCCGAGGAGACTGTTATTTCCGATACTGACAGAGTCACTACACGGAAAGGATCCGACACGCGAGGGTGTCCAATCTGGAAGATGGCATCGATATCATCCAGTGCCTACGGCTGCTTGTTTTACTAGCTGTGCACTGTACTGCTGCTGGCTCAGCCTGGCATCTTTCTAGCTTCGCTATGAAAAGTGTATCACCCTGGGCTATCATCGTGAAGATCCCAAGTCTACGCCAGTTTCGCTGTTGGATGTTCAGCAGAGGAGCTGGGCGTTTTGGGGATGTTACTTTCTGGATGTCTTAATATGCGCCGCGCTTAGGAGACCGCCGAGTATCGATGTTAGACACATCACCACTCCCCTGCCAGATCCTGCCTCTGATTCGCCTGGTCAATGTGCACAGCATGGATAGATAATCTGGAATCTCCGAACCTCTGAATCCGCGACCCATCGCCCTATTTCTCGTGATGTATATCACAGGCAACTATTCCAGTATGCCCGACTTCTATCCAGGTTGTTAGTGAGACTGCAAACGCCCCCCAATCGCCAGGTCCTTGTGACGACTTCGAGCACCACCTGGGGCAGGCCATTAGTCGGAGGATCAGTTCACTGCCACACGATGAGCCAGACAGTTGTAACATCTATCTCTTCCCGACCTCCTTATACAACACCCTTATGTTACGACTGGCAGTTAGGGAACTACTGACTCTATTCTCTTTTGGACCTGACTTACATGGCTCCGAGCCTACACCCGAGGCAATCACCATGTTTCTAGGTGATATGAATACTCAGGAGAGCCGGATGAAGAGATTGAAGGGTTCAGAAATATGCGCAGCTGTGGCGCGAAGTTTGGACCGCGTTCATATGACAGGTCGTTTTTATCTCTATCTCATCACTGGCTATAGCTCTTTGAATATGGCGTTCACCTGTTTATAATTGATGGCTGTTCAAACCATGGTCAGGGATAGAGTAGGTGAGAATACCACCTGGCAGGTTCCTCAAAGTCACTTGGGATCAGATGGCTCAAGTATGACATGGTACCCGCCACCGTCTTCATTACCTTTCCAGAACTCTGGAAATGCCGTAACATCATTTGTTCCCAGTTCCTCCCGCTCCTACCATCTCTCACCCGAAGGTCAGGCAGGGCGGATAGCTTTGAGGTTGATGGCGTCAATGATGCGTTCAATATTGCCATTGCTAAAGTTCACATGGTGGGGAGACAGTTCCCTTGACTGAATCATTATGGTCGCATGGCTCTCGATATTCGTAAGCTTCTGATATCAATGTCAAGCTCGGCTGTGTTCTTCTCACCAGCTGAGGTTATTGGTGATCAGCTCAGAGCCAGCGCTCAGGATATTGGCCCGATATATTCAAGACAGATCACAGCTGCCATATTGTGTGTAATCTCTCAGGCTGAACCGAATTGAGCAAGAGTTCTGTATGCAACGACGAATCTTATCTGTGACTATCGGGAGACTCTCAATGGTCAAGCGTAATCGAATAGGTACGAACCATGGTACCAGTATAGCCGAGTGCGGCCCATGTTCTCACCAATTGTGTTTGTGAGGGGTAAGATAGTGCGGGGTTGCGATATTGCTACCTTCGGACCTTGAACCTCGCAAGACGCCCGATGTCTAATGCCGAGGACTTGGCCCGATAACGAAGTCTATCAACGACGACCCGCGAGGTGTTTGGTCCATTATATAGTTGGAGCTTAGAATCATGTCGAGAAGCCACTCATACCATCAGCAGAAACCTTCATCCAACTCATCTTTTACAATGGGTTCGATACCAACTAACTCACCCATGCCTGATTCCGCCACCAAACCTGAACTTTATATCCTTAGTGACTTTCACCCTAAGGCCGTGAAATACGCCCAAAATTCTTTTGATTGCATCCCCTATGGCGATCCACGTAGAGAGAATTGGCACTCTCACGCCACAGCAATCCTTATCAAGGATTACTGCGTCACAGAGGACGACCTGGCCTCTGCACCGCAACTAATAGTCATTGGCAAACAGGGCGTCGGCTTAGATAAGATTGATATAGAGGCTTGCCAAAGACATGATGTTAAAATTTGCAACACTCCTGGCGTCAATGCCTTGGCTGTGACAGTGATGGCGCTTTGTCTGGCATTTACTGTCGCTCGGGAAGTGCCCCAGATAGTCATCAGACAGAGAATTCAGGCCGAAGCTATCCGAAAGGAGACTGTAGCTGGAATGTTGCTATCTAGGAAGGCCATCGGGGTTGTAGGCATGGGCCATATCGGTCAAGCCATTGCACAAATGTTCGTTCGTGGACTGCAAGCAGATAATCATTGCTTTCGATCCATATTTCCCCAATAAAGAGAGCACCTGGGACACAATCCTCCACAAGCGCTTCAAGACCCTCCCTGAGCTTCTCGAGGTCGCAGACGTGGTGACACTACATGTCTCCCTCACCCCCAGTACGAAGAACATGATTGCAGCGCCACAATTGAAGTAGATGAAGAAAACAGCCATATTGATCAACACAGCACGTGGTGGGATCGTCAATGAGGAAGATCTGGCAGATGCGCTGGAGAAGGGCGAGATATGTGGTGCTGGCTTTGACTTCCATTGCGAAGAGCCGCCGACGTTGGCAAAGTATGAGCGGCTTTGGAAGTGTCCGCGTTTCGTTGGGACGCCGCATATTGCTGCTGCGACGGATGAGACACAAACTGCTACGATCAGTGTGGCTATAGATGGTATTTTTGAAGTGGATTTGACTAGAGCCAACAAGAAGATTGTGGCTGAGGCTAAGGCCGGACTGCTCTCACACTAAGTGTTCGAATTTGGTTGATCTCGACAAACCATACAGGCGGTTGCGACACCGGGAATTAAGTGGCATATATGTGAATAGAGGAGGGTCATGTAGTGCAGACAGCAGAATTGAATGAGTTTAAGCTGAGCCATAGTCCGGTAACAAAAACCTGTTTTAATATTGAAAAACGGAACTTTCGTGGAATTTCTCCTGGCATGACCCGGACATACATGGACAAATCGATGTAATATCTGTAGAAGCTGTTCTTGATACCCATCCGAGACTTTGAAATCTGGGATACGCTGATTGTCCCGACCTCCTTAGACGTTCCTTGATGGATGTGTCCAATGTGAGGCTTGGCGGGCCTGTTTTGCTATTGAGACTTAGCCACAGGGAATTGTGCAATATGCAACTTGGCCGATCCAAACGGGACCAATTTTATCTTTTCCTTTTTATCTTTGTCAACCACTGGGTTGATTGGAGGCCACGCCGCTGTATCGTTATCTGTTGGCCAGGCAATCTTCCACGCATCAACTGTAAGAAAAACTGGGGGAGCATCTTTTGCAAAGATCGGATTGGGCAGGTTTTTAACGGTCGATGTGGAAGTCTTGACAACGATGCTATGTGGGTCGATTGCGTACTGCCAAATCTCAGTCGGTTCTAACACATAGTCGTGGGAGTGCGGGTGCACCTCGTCATCTGGCAGAGGCTTGCGATCGGTCCAATTCAGGGGTTGGTGATGCGTCTCCGTATAAGGGATGTCGAAAGCATAGAGCAATGGGCCATAGTAAATACTGGCAGATGAGTTGCGCGTTGCGACCCGAACCTCCATAGGTAACTCCAGCGTCAGAGTCGTGATACCCGGAAGAATTGTCGTATGGTGCAACCCAGAGTCATCCGGAGCGACTGTCTTGCTACGGCCTCCATTCATCTCAATGTTCGCCTTCGGGGTAGTCCAGCCGGGAATCCTGACTGCAAAATCAAATTTCGTTTTACTCTCAATCGTGTATTTAAGGATGGAGTCGAATGGATAGCTCGTTTCGCATTTAACTTTTCTCATAATGTAAGTCATTGAAAAACTACCAAGAAATGTAAATCTAGAGTCTCACCTTTGACTTTTTTGCCTTTGATGTGAGTTTCAACAGATGTAGGGCCAAGGAGAATGTGCGCGACACTGCTTTCGTTGATTTTCGCATAAGACGAGGCGACGTACTTTGCATACGCTTGAGGGTGGTTGACTGTACAGCAGGGCTGGGTACAAGAGTTAAGTTTGGGAGCGTTTATCACTCGCAGAGTTGTCGACTCACAAAATTGGGTTCCAAGCCATATGTATTGGCATAGGAAACGACATTGAAAAATGGGTTTTGGGTAAGATTCCCTGACCGAATTTGGTTTGTTTGCGTGACATACTGGTGAGACCACCCTACATCGAGTTAGTAGTGCATTATACCGAGAACAAGATCATTCTGTCCTTACAGTCTGGGCTCATGGCGGCTGGAAATGCGTTGAAAGCTGCAAGTTCTGCTTTGTCTGCGTAACTGTTATCCCCATGAAAACGGTATAGGAAGGCGTAGGAAAATATGGACTCGACTGCCATACAGAGTTCCGAACTAGATATATCTGTTTAGTTCAACAATTCGAGGATTCTGAATCATTCAAGGACGTACCCTCTTTGGGGACTAAGGGCGCCCAAATGCTCATCACCAATAATAGTACCGGAAACAGACGTTTGATACTTGACTGTCATATCGACTGCCGCCTTAGTCTGATGTACAAGGCTATCATTCCCCGTCAAGCGATAGAGCACAGTTGGGTATCGAAGGCCTTATTTGTAGTTTGAGTACTTGTAAGTATGTTTCAGGAATGTAAGTACTTACCCTGAGCCAAATTTACACCATGAGTAAAACCACTTGTTTTGAATGTGCCAGTTCCTCCTTTAGGGAAAACACCCTCGACGAAGAACTAGCGTATTGCTGGAAATTACAGTAAGTAACGAAGTGTTATGGAGGTGAAGGTTGACACCTTACTGTGAGACCAAATAGAAGAAGTGATCTTGCCCAAATACCTCGCGTCTGGCGTGTAGTTTCTGGCCCGAGCCATCCGTCTTCAGCTTGGTGGTCGAGGACATAATCAAGATAAGCTTTTGCTTGAGATTTTAGCTTAGCATCATCGAGGGACCAGGCTAAGGGCACGATGTAATTGAACCAATACGGTGATGCTTCGTTCAACTCGCTATACTCCCAGTCTCCCCCAAGCCATGTAGATCGGGAGACATAGCGGTAAAACTCAAAGAGGTGTCCAGCCAAACCGTCAGCCGATAGCTGCAGTTGATCCTTAAGCCAGCCAGTTGGGCGCACAGCACCTGGAGGCAGGGTATCGAACTTAAACTTCAGAAGCCCTATATACAATCAGTCAAGTGCTCACTCACGCGGTGACGTAGATATGTACATACCTCGTCTTTTTGACATGGTGGTGGTTTCCGTTCCGAAAGCAGATGAAACACTAGAAGCGACATGGATGAGTAGGGTCAGTGTGGAATATCTCATATTGTAAATACTCTCGTGAAATGAGGGGCACAACATGCGCTTGGATGTCTTTGAAGACGTGCTGAATTACTTAATGAAGAAAATCTAGGCCCTGAACAGATAGTGCTGAAGCGGTATTGCCTTGCGTCGGGCACTATATACACTCCAGAACTCATTATCGGGGGAACTAGCGGAAAACCCCCATATTGCCCCACATTCAGGCCGATTATTAACCCAGTGGAAATGAGTCGCTAATAGGAGACGGTCCGAGCATTAGCCCGCCCCGGATGCAAATTACTATCAGGGCCTGATCGGCAAGCCGAGGAGATCGCAGCCGTGGACGGAGTCGACGTTGTGCTCGTTGGGTCCAACGACTTGGCCATCGAGCTCGGTGCCCCTGCTGATTTTCGCAGCGACAGATTTCGCCAGGCTTTGATGCGCGTGAGTGAAGCGTGCAGGAAGTATGAAAAGGTCATGGGTCTTGCCGGTATTTATGATACGCCGAATATTCAAGACTGGGCTATTCACACATTGGGTGTGCGGTTTATGCTATGCCAGCAAGACTCGGGGTTGATCGCGGGTGCTGCAGCGAAATGCTTGGCTGCTGTAGAAATGGTTGAGAATGCCTCTTCGTCGAAGTCGATGAAGATGTCATCTTAGGTAGCGCACCCCTATATTTCCATCTCGCATTTTAAAGCCTCTAACTTCTATCGCTCCTTATCTCCCTTTCTCTATCCAACGTTACATTTTCCATTTCTGCAAACAAGTAAAGCTCTTCTGACCTATGCTACCTTCATACGTATCACCTTATCACAATTCAGGATACACAATGGATCAAATGCATTCTTCATCTGTCACCTTAAGTTAGCATCATATAAGACTGAATGGTCAAAAGACTTACCGATCGCATCGTATCCACAGCTTCTTTTCCTAGCTCCTTCTCCAGATAGTCTCTCTTCACAAGTCCGACGCCATGCTCGCCCGTCGCTGTACCTTTCATCTCGATGGCTTTATCAACCATTCGGTGGACGATCTCTTCAGCGATATGACGCTTCTCTTCGGGGAAGAGTAACAGGGTATGGAAGTTCCCATCACCAACGTGCCCAACGATTGAGCCGAGTAATCCCGACTTCTGGATGTCTTCTTTGGCAAACTCGATGATGTCGGGGAGTCTGCTTAGAGGTACAGCTACATCAGTAGTCCAGACTTTGTCACTCGGTGACTTTCTCATGGCCAGCATGCTCCAGAGGGCATTCTTCCGCGCGGACCATAATTCGTTCCGCTCAGTCTCGTCGGATGCGAATGTGTATGCGGTACTGCGATTCTGTTTCGTGATACTTCCGACTTGCTTGGCAAGGTGATCCACGATGAACTCATCGCTCCCCGTGAACTTGAAGAACAGGGTTGGCTCTTCTTTCCACTTCAGTCTCGTCAAAGCAGAGTCATTGATGCTCTTCATCTGTACTTCGTCAAGAATCTCAACAGCCGCAACCTGGATGCCATTAGATAGCACCTCTCGGACTGCAGACGCAGCATCTCGTAGCGTTGGGAATGTGCACACAGCCACAGCCTCGCAGGGTGGCTTGACTGCCAGTTTTAATGTAGCTTCCGTAACGAGGCCAAGGGTTCCCTCACTGCCGATAAAAGTCCTCGTTAGATCATACCCTGCACTCGACTTTCTGGCGCGTTGACGAGTCTTGATGATTGTTCCGTCCGCAAGTACGACGGTTAGTGACAGGACCCAGTCTTTCATGGTTCCGTATGCCGCTGCGTTTGTCCCAGAGCATCCTGTACCAACCATTCCTCCAATCATGGCGCCAGGACCAGGGTCTGGGGGAAAGAATAGGCCATGAGCTGCTAACTCTTCGTTCAGGTCCATCCATCCCATACCGGGTTGCACAACACAGTCGAGATCATACTTGTTGAGCTCCACTATGTTGTTCATTCGACCAAAGTCAATGCATATGCCCTGTAGATGAGGTATGTACTGGCCTTCGATCGACGTCCCTCCCGAGTACGGTGTGACTGGTAGCCGACGCTGGAAGCATACTTTCATCAGCTCTGAAACTTGTTCTGTAGTCTCAGGGTATAAAATGACTTGAGAAAGGATGGCTGACTCTTCAGTCCAGGCGTATGACTGATAGTCGGAGCCCGAATGGGTAACGAGATCGACACGTTCTGTTGAGACGTTCTCAGGACCCAATATAGCGGCGAATTCTTTACAAGCACCTTCGATATTTGATGCCGACAAGTCATGTTGAATCTTGGGCGCGCCAAGTAATGACTGTGTTGATGACGGTTGCCTCTTGGTTGGATGGCTGCTGGTACTCTGTGCTCCAGCGGTGCTAACTGCTAATGCCACCAACCCCAGGATGTATAACCCTGTAAGGTCCAAGTCAGTCTTGGGCCTGTAGGTGCATGGGAGGACTTACCTGGGCTTCTTGTCTGCCATTTTGTGGATGCTGAAGTTTGTGTTCTTGATGTATTCGAAACTGACCGAAAGCACTGGGCTGGTAACCGAGTTCGGGAAGGTATTGGATATGGCCCAATGGGTACTGCCCGATGTAAGGATCTGCCACGAGCCCACATCACAGCTTTGGTAGATCACAGCGAGCCTTTGGGAGATGAAGAGAAATTTAATTCAGAGATTAACTAGCATAGAAGCTATTGAGAGAGGCTGTTGAGTTTAGTTAGCTATTATTTGGGGTGTTCTTATCTACCTTGCTTCATTTTCTCACCGCCTGTCTGGCTTCCAAGGCGCTTCGGGGATGGCACCATCGGCTATGGACTGCATATCAGACTATCAGCATTCGGCTATGGACAATGCCATTCCCGGGAAACCAATTTCCAGTCTTGGGGTAGCAGAAGAGACTATTGGTTCTAGCTAAATCCCCTCATCCTACGTTATGGCATATCATAGGTCAGTAAACCTCCTATCCCCGCACTCACCTGAGTCACAAACAGTATGCCAGGAATACGGAGCTTTTATATTCCACCTAATATCGAGACGCTATATGCCTAGACGGCTAGATTACAACGGATTCCTCTCAAAAAATGCTTATTGATCTATAGGTTCGGTACTCGCTATGCCTAGATCGGCTAGAAAGTACATAGCTTGATACTGGAACGAGTCTGGATGCGGGAACTCCATGTCGTCACTTGACTGAACACCCGAGAAGACACCGTTTGCCAAGTACGTCGGCCAAAAGCCGCCTGCCTCAGATCCCGAACCCTGTTCAAATCCGAAATTGGAGTTCTCAAAGTTTGTCGTGTCATGCGTGGCTTGACCAGCTGATGCAGTCGTCGTCGGGATCTCATCGGTGCCGTTCATCATCTCTAAGCCAGTACCCCCGCCAGTCGTGTCATCGCCATGTAGGGTCGGAGGTGGTCTATGCGCTTCTACCGCATCGAAAGGCGTTGGGCGGTTCAGAATATCCATGAAGAAATTCTTGATCCATCTGGCGAGTATATAAACGGACTCAAACTGCTTGAGGGCCAATAATCCAGGTCGGATCTTTACAAATATCTGATCGCTTTCAGGCGCGGAGGTTTTTACTTCTGCTGCCAAGGCCATCATCGCAGAGAAAAGAGCAGACACACTGCATACTTGTCAATATACTTTCACCTAAATTATACTTACGACTCACTAGATCCTGGGGAAATGCTCCGGTGTCCAGAAAAGCAGAGAATTCTCGACCAGGTTGAATATCTGTGCTGCTGCGTCAAGGACGGGCTTGATCTCTTTACATGCATTGCACTGTCTTTGTAGCCTCTGGCTGAGGTTGATTAAATAGTAACTAATGAAATCAGCTTTATGCTTGGCGAATCCAAGAGTGATACGTACTGATAGCAAACCTTCAGTGTCAGACTTAGATGATGATGGCCGTTGGAGAAGTTCAAGCCTTCAGAAGAGTCATACCAGGCTTGTAATTCTGACTGAATATCTCTCATGGCTTCATCGAGGACATGAGCTTCTTTACAGAGAGACAGACGGGAAGGCGAGCAGTGGGAGAAGTACAGTCGAGCCACTATTCCGTTAGTATTACCCATGGCAAGCAATCAGGCTTGGGAGCACGGAAGTTCTTACTAGCTTTACTCAGCTTGACCTGGGATATGATATACTGCACAGTCTCTGGAGCTTCCTCCGTAAAGTCTTGCTCGACAAGTTCTTCGACATCATGATCTTGGTCGTTGATCACCATCGGTGTCCCGGTGGAGATGGCGATCTGGCGATCACGGACCTGACCTTTTAGTTGAGGCCTCTTATCACTAGAAACATACTCACATAAAGACACCACCAGATGCGCTTCCATCGCGACCTTTCTTCATGTGACATCTTACTATTTCTAGTGCTCCTATGATAACCTGTGCACTGCGCGGATCGTATTGCAGCAGCGAGCCACCAATGACAGTCTCGATAAGCTGTCGGACTTCCGAACCAGTAGTGAAGCAGGTATGACGACAATATCATATGGATGCGACTCGAATCTCGATCCGCGTCGAATGCTCTGCTGGCCTTGTTGTACAGAGCATTGTTGGCATCCCATCGAGTGCTGTAACCCATGAGATGTAGTACCTCTGCACCACAGTGTAGCGATGCAACAAAAAGGACACTCTGGAGTAGGGTACCTGACATGGTTCCGTCAGAAAGGGAGGAAAGGAAGTATTTTCTACCAAGTATCGGACAAAACGCGTGAAATCTGTCGAAGTAGACCTTGATGAGACGGTCTACTAAGTCTGGTGATGGGAGATCCGACAGGGTTGTCTTCTCACGAGGCAAGGACGGCCGGCTGCAGACGCTCTCTCTCCTCGTATCACGGGTAACACTCTGAACTGTCTCGTTACACTCTCCGATTGGTCGGTGAACACTGTTGTGGCCGGGCGTGTAACCTCTCATGACATATGAGGCATACCAGCTTTCTCCGACAACGCTTGGTTGTGCATTAGGACTTGCATGCTGATCAGACGAAAGCTTTGCGGTGGCCGACTCACTCGACGGCTGCATTGAATTACTGTTATGTAGTTCTTCCACTGTCGGTGATGCTCCAGTGATCAATCCCATGGAATCCTCGTCGTTAGGGGCAAAGCTGGGGCTATCAGAGCTGCGGTGAGATTCCACTTCTGGCAATAGCGTGTATCTCCCATCGGGGCCTCTATAAGACGAAGATCAGTCTTAACTCACAGCAAAGCGATAGGTCCTACCTTCGGCGCCTAGATTGGATGAGTGCACACTGCTCATGATGGCCGCTCTTCTTGCAAGCCGAGCACGGTACACCTATAACGGATCCATCACACTTTGTTCTTCGCCGATTGCAACGCCCACACGCCGTGCCTCTCTTCCTGCCATGGTTGGACGTTCTCCTGGTACGCTGTGAAGGGCTCCCTTGATCCATTGAGCACAATTACGATGCGTATCTACTCATAACACTTCAAGAACTGCATCCTTACTCTTCCCCGCCTGGGACAATCCGGGGCGTGCCACTACAGTGGGCCTAGAGCAAAGGATGCAGTCTACCCCGCAGTGTCAGCACGCTAAATCCATTCAAGCTTGACCAACCTGTTTGTTTGCACGGAGATGATCGCGGGAATTACCATAGCCGATGGTCATCCCCCGTCATCGGCTATGGTTAGCCTTGTAGATCCCCCATCCTTCTCGTTTCCCTTCTCAAACCAGAAAGCGATCAAATGAGACATGGATCATTGGCGATCTTGGCCCGGAATGCATATGTATAAAAGTGACCCCAGACTTCCCCGGATTTTACACCTGCATGAGCTCACTTCGCTAGTAGCACTTCTTCACTATAGCAATGGCCAACATTACCATGGTTCGCCCCGAGATTGACATGTCTCACGAGGAAAAGCATGAGCTAGAACAGATTGAGACCAAGGACAATGTACAATCCGATCACGACACGAAGTTCGAGAAGCGCGTTCTTCGGAAAATCGATACTCGACTCCTACCTATTCTCGGGTGTCTCTACACAATCGCGCTCGTCGACCGATCCAACGTCGCGGTCGCTCGTATCTCAGGAATGGACGAAGATCTCGACCTCGCCGTCGGTAACCGCGTGTCTATTGTCTTGATGGTCTTCTTTATCGGGTACATTCTTTTTGAGATCCCCAGCAATGCCTTCATTCACAAGCTTGGTGCAGCCAATTGGCTCGCCTTTCTGGCTTTTGCTTGGGGATTGGTGTCCCTTGGCATTGGCTTCTTAAACAACTGGGCTGGCTTCGCCGTACTGAGAGCCCTTCTTGGCGTTTTTGAGGCTGGTTTCTTCCCGGGTACTTATGAAGATCCCCATTCCCAGTAGCCATGGAACTGACAATAAAAAAGGCTGTGTCTATCTTGTATCTTCGTGGTATAAGCGCTACGAGGTCCAAAAGCGAATGGCAGGCTTCTTTTTGACTGCCTCAGCGCTGTCAGCCTTCGCCAATATCCTCGCATATGGCCTCATTCAGATCTCCAAGACACATCATTACAAAGGGTAAGCATACACATATGCCAGTTCACTTTCTAAAGACTGATTCTTGAAGATGGCGCTGGATCTTCATTGTGGAAGGTGCCATCACAGTCGTCGCCGGCGTCGGCTCATGGTTCATCATCGTCGACTTTCCTGATTCTGATAAAAACACATTCCTCACTCCCGAAGAACGCGCCTTCGTCAAAGAACGCCTCGCCGAGGACCGTGGCCCCGAAGAACGAGAAAAGGTTACCTTGAAGATCATTGGGCAGACAGCTGCGGACTGGAAGCCCTGGGCCTATTCACTTATGTACATGGCCGGTGCCGTTGGAGTCTATGCCTTCTTGTTCTTCCTGCCTATCATCCTACGCGGTGGTCTTGGATACTCACTTGAGCTTTCATTCATTCTGAGTACACCACCAGCACTGTTTGCTGTTGTTGAAGCAATGAGTATTTCGTGGCTTGCTGATAAGACGAGGCTGCGAGGTCCGTTCGTCATCTTCCAAGGCCTGATTGGAATCATTGGGCTATGCATGACTGGATTCATCGATTCCCCAACACCTCGCTATGTCGGCACATTTCTCGGCGTCTCTGGCGCTAACGGCCTCGTTGTTACGACACTTGCGTGGCAGGCCAATAATATTGTCGGTGATGCTCGACGTGCTGTGTCCACTGGCTTCCTCATCAGTATGAGTGGCGTTGGTGGGATTTACTCCAGCATGGTATTCCGTAAGTCGGCAGCCCTTTCCTTGACATATCGCATCTAATAGCAGTCCAGGTCAACAGGATGCACCAAACTACATCCCTGGACTCGTCGCTGTCATGGCCATCAACGTGGCAGCGGTTGTAGTCGCCGCGCTAACGATGCTTATGCTCCGCCATAATAACAGACAGGCAGATAAGGGAAAATGCTTATGCGAAGGTCGCGAAGGATTTAGATATACATTGTAGAGTTCTTGTTACTCTAATTGATAATCATGACTCGCTGCAGTCTTCGAAATGCTCTGCGTGATCCAAGTTGCTGTCGGTATCAGAGACAGGACAAGCATTGTCGCCGTCCATACCACCCATTGCCGGGTCCTCATTCTCCAGCACTACTGCAAATTTTCCCACGAGATGAAGAGCCTTTCCCAGTCTTTCGCCAGCCTGAGCACAGTACCTCATATCTTCCCTTTCCATCAGGCGCAAGTTATCCTGCTCTTTCTGATCTAGTTCGGCACGCTGCTTCGCTATCTCTTTTTGGGCCTCTTCTAGACGTAGCTGAATGGATTGTTTATTCTGTGTAAGCTCTGCCAGTGTTGACTGAGTCTCCAAATTGAGTTTTGCAATAGCTTGTATATATAAGTTGTCCCCTAGGGCTCTGGTAAGGTCTTCCGCATCGTCGAGGAATCGTTGGAGTCCTGCTGAGCTGGTGCGGAGGCGATGGACTGCTGTATGTCTGATTTGCGCAATCGAATGCAATAATTCTTTGAGTGACCTGTCGCTGTCCTGGCGCTTTAAGTTTCCTTTATTTCCAAGCAGCTCTGCTCACTGGCTAAGCTCTGCCGCTTCAGGACAGTCCCAGTGACGTTCTTGCATAATATTCGAGAGTTCTCTTATTCCATACTCGTAACAAGCAGCTTCTAGAGTCTTTTGAAGTTTCTCCATAAGAAGATGCTCCGTAGGAAACGGCAGATAGACTGGGAATGACGATGGAATACCAGCAATGTCGCACGCAGTGCTGTCCCTAGCGTCTGGCCAGCCTCAGATACTATTGATTAACTTGAATGGACGAGACATACCCTGTAATGGTTTTGTATGTTCTTTCGTGTGACCGGCCTCCTTACTGTTGTCCGAGTTGTTTAGTTCAACAGCCTCAAGCGCGACTTGCCCAGTCCCATTGGCCTCTGCTTCAACGTGCGTGTTGACAGCCGTTTGAACAGACGAATGCTGAGATAGGTCGGGAAATCGTTGACTAGCAATTGTCGCTGACTCATAAACCTTTTCCGAAAGTAGCTTTAACACTATCTCAGCGACAGCGTTATAGCCGTGATCATTAACGACTTGCTGCACCGGGTTCCCCGCCAGTAAGTTGTTGTTAATCGACGTTTCTACAACCGTACGCTTTCGTATTTTAGCGTACTTCCCGACGAAAACATGCTTTGTTGCTTGATAGATCAATCGCTCATCCAGTTGCGTGCCAATAACTGAACCCATATTGGGCCTCCCAGCAAGTTGAAGCTATGCTGGTAAAGCAGAACAGTCGATATACAGAATGAAGAATGTAATTAGGTAGAATCTCCAGACTTGATGGATCGGAAGAAGTATCGAAGATGTAAGGGACGGCTGAGTTCTTGCTAAATATACGGCCGAGACAAGTGGGGAATTTTTCATGGTAGGCCTCCTAAGACTAAAACGACTATTTGCTGGATGATTAGGTATCTATCACGTCATAGATGATGTAGAACGTCAGAGTATATTAATAACCGGTGACCGAATGGTGCTTGTTCTAGAACCGAATCTACGGTTCTCTGCGTTTTGATCGCACAATGAACACGAATTATCCCAAATAGCATCAACCTGCGCTCCCAGCATTGCACTATCAATTGAGATAGAGGTATCCAGTAGGAAGATTGACTTAAGTATTCTCAGTATTACTGGCGTGAACATTATTTCCCTGTTTTGTCATAACCTAGTAACCTATTAGCCATTATATGAACAGTAAAACAAACTGCCCAGGGTAGGGGCGCGATATCATCGGGCCCCGGCTTTACAATAGTCCGACAGCTTCCAGCATTCGTACTAAGAGTAGCTTACTTCGACTTGTCTACTGAACGGACTTTTGCTTCCGTTGGCCTTATCCGAGACGTTACATATAAATAACATTTAATCAGCTTACACCGCAGATGATGAACAACGTAGGTTAAGCTAAGAGATAACGACTGACAATGCAGACGTTGGAATGAACACGCAATCCACGCCTCCACCGGGGAAGTGCAACAAGACTGTCGCGTGAGTAGCTCTCGCTTCATTGACCAATTTCACCTATCGTAAGCAATGAAGTAGCCGCTGACATGAGTACCTTTTCCAAGATGTTTGCAATGCCGTGAGCGAAAGGTTCGCTGCTCAGGGACTTGCCCTTGCGCGAATTGCACGCGACGCTCAACAGATTGCGTGTTCGAGCAGGAAGATCGCAAGATTGTCGTCTCGGAAAAGCAAGTGGCTGCTCTGAGCGTTGCAAATTTGGCTGTGCTGAGACTAATCGTAGCTTGCTCAATGATCTGAAGCGAAAGGGACAGGATTGGGATGAGGCCAGAAACAGAAGAGGAACAAAACCTCTGCGGATACGAGTACAAATGAGAATATTGTTGGAGAAGCATCACCTCAACAACCCGGTCTAAGAACGAGCGCTGACGATGGCCTACCACAAATGACCTATCCTCTGCTGACGCCCTCGTCCAAGTTTATCGTAGACCACCAAGGCAGGAAACGTACGTTAGGTCTAGATCCCAGCCAATCTCAAGGACTAACTGGCATAGGGTTTCTTGGTCCTTCGTCCACTTGGGTATACAGCCATCATGTAATGGGCATGATCAGAGAAGTACTCTCATCAACACAAAAAACTGTCTGCTTGATGCTAACGGAGTACTAGTATGTGGAGCACGAGCTCTCACCCGGAGTCCCACTAAATCACGATGGTGTTGCTTTCAACATAGAGCTACCGAGTATGAAGGAGACTGATCTTGTTGTCAACATCGAAGGCCTGCCTTCCCTGGACTATGCCCTTTACCTCACCAACACGGTCAAGTTTCACATCGTCCAAACTCACCACCTATTTGACGAGCAAAGGTTCATGCCAGCTCTCCATTCACTATACAACGATGGTCCACCGCTGGTGACTGCTGGGAACAAGATGTGGTATGTCCAGTACTTCCTTATCATGGCTCTAGGTAAGGGACTACTCACCCGTGGTATGTCCAAGGCTGGCTCGCCGAGAAATGAGTATTTCATGAGAGCCATGGAGCTATTCTCAGATACATATGGACTTTACATAGATCATATCTTGTCGATCGGGGTGTGCTGCAGGCTTGCTTTGTACCTTCAAGCTGTTGATCACCGCAACAGTGCTTACGTCTATGTTGGTTACCTCCGCCTCCCGATCACAGATCATACTGAGTGGCGTTTTGTAGCTTGGAATGGGTCTTCGGATAGCACTTAGTCAAGGTCTATACCGTGGCATTGCTGGAGACTCCGCAGACGATCCTGAAGTAAGGCGATACCGCAATGCATGGTGGACACTCTACATCCTCGATCGCAAATTCTCATCCCTGATTCGTCCTTGCTACAAGGCCAATTCTCATGTGTATACTACGAGACAAGCTGGAGAAGAGCAGACATGATAATAATGCCGACGCTGAGATTGCTGAGCCTATCAAGGCTTTGGTTAGAACCTGTTACGACTCAGCTCACAAATCACTACGTATCTTGACTACACTCCAGTCGCAGGATCTACTAGGTATGCCTGTAACTTGTACAGTTACGAAGACAAGCTAACTTTTCGAAGAACTCTTTCTCCCCTTCGATCTGGACCACGCATTCTCAGCTGGTTTTGTCCTGGCACTCATCTCAACCATCCAACCCTTCCCGGACGCAGCGAGCGAATCCTCATTCGAGTTGACAAGAAATATCCTTGACGCTCTAGCCGCAGGCTGGAACCTGCCTGCACGGTTTCGGCGCCAGGAACTTGAGCGTCTCCATGATATGTTGCACCTGATTGAACAGCGAGGTATCGTGCCTCAGCTCCAAGGTCAAGCAGACATTCATGTTCTTGGAGAGCAGGGAATATCACCCAACCAAATACTCAAGGTTGCTAGTTTACTGGATGGACATACGAACCTTGGTGCTGATCTCGATGATGTTAATGGCTGGCTATGGGAGGTCACTGGTTTTGAGGGTCTCCGTCCCGTTTAAGCATGTCTAGCGAGAGTTGATGTGATTTGTAAGGGGTTTTGAGTAAATTAATCTTTCCCTGTATGTATCCCTGGCATCTTCAGCCCAAAAGCAGGCATGCAAGCAATATTGCTCCTGGCGGTCCTTATCTCAGTGCTTATCGTTTGGACAGCCCGTCCACTCTTCACGCTAGGGCGTGCTTGACATTAGGGCGTGGTCACAGCCTCTCCGCTGTGCTTATGTGCCCGCCTTTACATTAATAAGCTACATATTTGTATTGTAAACAAAGTCCGCAGTCCCCTCGTATAAAGTTACTGAATTCAGTAGGGCTTGTGGGTACTTCGACGTCTTCTTAAACAGCCGATAGGTCAGAATGTGAACCGAGATCTGACCTACTTGTAATTGGTCTAATGTCTAGGATCCACAGGCGACTGAATTTGGTCCTTTTGTACGGACGATATCTTGACTGGCGGTTGTAGTCACTTGGAAGACGGAGGCCCCAACCCATTGAAATTAACAGAGCCCGCCTGGCCTAACTCCTTTCTTGTAAGAAACCCGTCAAATGATCTAACAATGCCGAAGCCGAACGTCACTCTTATCCCATGGGACCCCAGCTCTCCTGAACATGTGAAGCGCATGGTCGAGCAGCGCGTAATTTGTGGCTGGCAAGCGTCAATTGTCCCAACTGCGTGGAAAGACGGGCATATCGAGGGGACGAAATGCGTTTACTGGATTGTAAGTCACATACAACTACCTTATTGTATTGCTATTCTAAGTCTCTTTAGATATTTCCGCAAGACGAACTGCAGCGCGAGAAATACCTCGAGATGCATACCGAGGCTTATCCCAAGGTAGGTCAGTGTATAAAGTCAACTTCGACCATTCGACTCACGCTTTGTAGGAGACAGAGGAACTTCTCGACACAAGCAAGACGCTACTCGGAAAACCGCGCGTTCCAACCGATGCAAAATTCCTTCCAATTGGGCACGTCGCTCTCGACACTCATATCTCAGACTATGCAGAAAAGGTCGAACTAGACCTCCCCAAATCTGGTGCATACTGGGTCAAGAGTCTTTACGTATCTTACACACTTCAGGGCCTGGGTATCGGCGGAGCTGCTATGAATATCGCTGAACGCATGGCCATCGCGGAGCCTCTCAACGCTAGGCATCTGCTATTAGACACGGTGCACCACGAGGACCAGGCAGATGAGGACTTTGCTGTTGCCAACTATGGAGGAGCCTTCAAGGTAAGTGTCTGTTGTCAAGTAGTCATGTATACAAAAGGCTAATTATCGATCGAGATTCCCACCCAGGCTTGGTATGAGAGACGGGGTTACAGGTTAATTGGTGTAGCCGAGAACGTATACCAATATCCAGATGCAAATGGGAAGATTTGGCCGTGTCGGACAGTTTTCTTACAGAAGGATATTGTTTAGAAGAGCAATATGATCTTTTGCCTGTTGCACAGCCAGTCTTGCCAGTCCTCTGAGAATGACGGTAGAGATGGGGGGATACCCGAATATCTTTTGAACGCTTCATGTCGTGGTCTAGGGCTTTCTCATTGTTGCAAGTCAATGCCAGGTCGAATTTGTCTGTGTTTGCATCACCATCAGTTCAAAGGTTAAGTTCACTCAGTCGCGACCTGCTGTGTATTACCATTTATCAAAAAATATGTTCACAAACACTTAGGTGGACTTCTGTTCTAGAACTCAGATCTAAAATAAAGCTGACTCTGCCGCTTACTTTCATCTTCTATTCTATCACGAGTATAGTATTCGGTTCAACTTGCATCTCGGAATTTTGACCGGGCTGCGCTCGCTTGCAAGTTAGATATACTATTTATGACCAAGACTTGTAGCTAAGACCTCCTCTAGCACTACATGTCGCCGGCTGTGCTCCCTTGTATAAAATTTTATCGACCCTTCTTCACTTTTGCCCCCCCTTGCTCTCAAAGATCAGAGGTCGATCACAGGTTGGTGGCGTAGAGTAGTCTGAGTATGCTGTCATTTCACTCGACCTGGCACCCGTTGCTGCTCTATGGACTGTTTGGGTAGTCTCTGGGTGTTGGCCAGGCGTTGGAGTATCGAGGGAGTTTGTACCATTTCCTTCGAAGGCCGTCCAAGATGGCGAGTAAAAGGTCGTGTATGATAGAGGATTAGGTTTTGATTGTTCTCGGATTGTCGTTATTTGGGTTGTAGCTGGGCTGGGATCCATTGCAAGATTGGGTTGAACTCAGCAAGAATTCTTGGTGTCTGGTCAGTCGGAAAGCTCTTGAGTAGTGTTGCCCTTCAAATAATGACGGGATGGCTGGAGAGGCAGTGCTTGGTGAGGGGTTTGCATCCTGCAGAGTGTGCGCTAATGAGATGTGTTGTCGTGGCTGTGTTAGGTGTCCCACAGCCACCAAATTTGTGTTTTCAACCCCCCTGTAATGTCACGTTCTTCAATGTGACATCATCTCAGGCCTCACTGAGATATCCGAGGACTTGGTTTTTCTCGCAACGACAGGAGGCCTGGAGGGACCAACCTCAACGACAGACTTGGGATATCGTCGTTTCGATTGCAAAAATGAACTCGCAGAGACCAAGTAAAGTCGAAGACAGTCTCTCAGAAAATGATGTTGAGTACTCGCCACTGTGAGTCCTATAAATAATAAATCAGTTAAAGCAAAAGGCTTACGGGCTAAAAGCTTCTCATCTCTTGAGGTTGAAGCCAATATGGCAGAGATGGGGAGATACTTTTCGAAGAAGAACGGCATTCGGGTCATCACAGGACTGGGACATCAGAAAAGAGGTGCTGAAGATATGGTTCTGGGAGACCAGAACTTTGGAGACTTCCAAGAGGTAAGTGATATTGCGAAAAGTTATTCTAATTATTGAATTAATACTGAGTTGACTCTAACCATGGATAGCTGTGCAAGCGCAGTGCGGTTCTTGTCTGGTGAGTCTTATAATCAGCCAGCATGACGTCCTTGACTAATTGGAAGCGCAGCTTCATTAACAGATTTATCATGAAGCCTGGAATCTCGGATATCCCAAAGGATAAGAAACGTCTGAGAGTCTCGAGCTTAATATTCCGATCGCTCATGGCCGCCTTCGACACTTCTCCGTGCTTTGTATCATCTATGATCAGCGGAGACATAGTGACAGGGTTAGGAACTCGATTAGTATGTGGGCAGAATGAAAAGCAAGCCCTGTCCTTTTGGTACACACTCCCTGTGCGTACTGCAACCCCATGCTTTGATGAAGAGGGAACGCATGCGCTCAGTGTCATTGGAAGTAATCAGGTGGATCCTAATGGTTATCTACACTTGGCGGATATCAAGCACGATATCCGTCCTTCCAAAATTGGCGTGTACTCTTGGCATGATGGTACACTCTCTAGAACAGTGATTGTTGACTTTCAAGACGGTCGACTACATGCAATTGCGGATGAGCCTTACAGAAAGATCAAAGAGATGATCGGGCGAACTACTGACTATAGACCGTTGGACTCGCACATCGCCCTGCTTTCGAGTTCTGCAAGATGGTGGAATCATGCGCTTACACAACTGAAAAGGCAGTTGGCCCATTTTGTGCGTATAGTTGAGCGCAACAAGGGCGCAGTAGTTGACTTGTCACAGGAACTGAAATTACTCGAAGACAATGCGCAACAGCTCACATCGCCGAGTATCGACTTTGAATGCAGTGCCCGACACTTGGCGATGAAAAAGTCTCTACACTCTACGATGTCACATCTTCAGAGATATAAGACTGAACTTGGGGCGATTGAAGAGATAGTAGCTGATTTGCAAGTGGTATCCAAGAAGCTCTATTCAATCAAGGAGTTGGCATTGTCAAGAGAAGAACCCAACTCAGAAGCCGTCGATGAGAATATCGCTACCATTAGAAAGAATATTTCTGGTGCAAGGGCGTTTTTGTTCGAACTTGAGGTAAAGACAGAGGCAATCATGGGCCTTGTAAGCTTAAAATATCTTTTACGACGAAAACATTGCTGATTTACTCGGAAGCTGTCAGACGTTGTCAAGTCTCGGAATGATATGCTGATGGTGAACAACGGCAGCATGGTCCGAAAGCTGCTCAAATCAGCTAGGAAGCAAAGCAAAGCATCTCAGACTATGATGAGGGAATCCCAGAGGATGGCGTCGGATATGAGAAAAGACAGTGTTTCTATGAAGACAGTATGTATCGCTCAAACTGCGTAGTATCTCCGACTTACTTGACTCAGATTGCCCTGCTGACTATGGCATTTCTTCCCGCGACGTCCATTGCGGTAAGTTTAAGTCATCCCCAACGGTGAATGAATGCCATCTAAATAGCTAGGCAATACTATCTATGCCATTCTTCAGTGAGCAAAAGTGGTTCAATAACCCAGCCAAAGCGTGGCTTTGGGCAGTATTGACGGTTCCTGCGACGATAGCGTCTGTTTGCATCTATTTGTTTCTAACCAGGAAGGAAGTTAGATCTACTGGGAGTGCTCTAGTCAATGATGAGGAGGATGATATGGAGAGTGTTGACTTTGTACTTGATGACTTGTAAGTACAATGACTTTGCAGCCATTGTTGCTGGGAGAAAGTAACTATGAGCAGAATGCATTATTGTTTACGCCCCGTGTGTCTGCCCCGCGTGTCTGCCTCGCAGTGCTTTTCAACCCCCTGGCTGAGCCACTGACGTAAACAGCTGATGAGGGTGGTGTAGATGCCCAATCAGCAAGCCATGCTGGTGGCTGTGGCGTTGGGCGTCCTCATCAACAACAGAGCACTTTTGACCGCTCTACATTTGAAGAAAAAGATATCCGCTGGCTGATCTATCTCTAACCTTTCCGCATCGTTTTATTCTCGCCTGAAACCACATCGAGTATTTCAGCATGACCTCCTCGCCAGACGGCGGCGCGATGCAAGCCAAATCGGACCCAGTGCCAGATCAGGCTCCAACCCAAGAGCAAGTTGCAGCGCCGTTTCGCCAATCAAAGATCTGCATTTGTGTCGACGTATCTGGCAGCACGTATGGACCTGCACTCAAGGCTGAAATAAAAGCAATCAAGCAAGTGTGCTCTCTTATACCCCAGAGTATGTACGATAACATAACCATCATTCCCTGGAATGACGCATCGGAGCGACCGCGGTCACTCTCGCAAATCCATACCTTGGAATCTGGAGGTGGAACTGATCCAAATGTTCTTCTGGAGGACCCAGAGTGCAGACTTCTTCTACAGGAAGCAGACTTCTGGTTTCTCATGACAGACGGCGAGATAGACCAGAGCGTGGTTCGTCAATTTGCGCGAAATCTCACCGACTACGGAATGCACGGCAAAGCTTGCATAATTTCTGTCTTTGGTGAGAAGTTGATGAAGCCAAGCCACTGCAACATCACTGTCGGGCTCTCCGTCTTCGCCGTCAGCCCACACGTAGTGTTTATGTACACCGACATAGATACCAGCAAGACGACTCTGCTATCCACCAAAGGATGTTTCTCGAATCTGTTGCCCGCGGGAAAACGAAATCCAACCTTGGACTATGACACCAACTGGTCCGACCTACCTTTTGTTTCCTACGAAAACCTCACCCGAATTTCTGTTCCCAGAGCTCAGAAGGTTGACAAGGACGAGCTTATTCTCTACGGAAACACTCGCGTCAACTTCAACAGTCTTGTATCTCGCGAGACGATTGATGAAGACCTAATGCGCCAGATCATGCTCAATGAGGATAATATCAAGACCATCGCACTGACCGCCAAGATCAGGGGAGAGTCTGATAAACTGACCAAGTGGCTGGATAAGGTCGATGCCAAGATCGAACAAGACAGTATGAGTGAGGCCTTTGGTCACAAAGACTCCCAGCTTCTAAAAGATACTATAGCAGAGATAGGAGAAGCGAATGGGACTCAAGTATCCCTAGATGACTATGGAGCAATGAGATATGGTGCCCAAAACGCATATGCCTTCGAACCTTGCCCAGCTCACATTTCATTTCCCCACGCCTACCATCAAGAGTTTAAAAAAAGCTCTACTAGAATGAGAGCCCTTACAGAGCCGAACACTCGTTTAGCTGCCCCGGAAAACATCGGTAGCTACGAATTTGAATACCTTCATTCTCTTACGCCTTCAAATGACCCTTGGACACGAAGCATTCTGCTCCCCAAAGGCCTTAGCCAAACGACACAGCCCGATAAGCTGTCTTCCATTTCACAAACGAATGAAAAGCCACAAAGCCATGAACCTTTCACAGAAACAACCACCGGCAACCAAGGCGACCACCTCAACCTTGCCATTGCAGGGTTTCTGAAGCCAACTCAGGCCAAGGACCAGCATATCTTGGACTGTCCTAAGTGTGGTAGAGCAAGAGCCGTTATGACACTTCTCCTCAGAGCACCTGACCAGTCGATGGTGACTAAGAACTTTCCATCTGTCAACAGCACGTCAAAACTTGTCTACCCACTTACTATGGGCAACTATCCTGAGATGGACATTATTTCCGACACAATTATATGTGATAAGTGTGCCGTGGCCATGATTGGAACCAGGAGGACAGCGCACAAAGAGACTCTCGTGGCTGCTCTGCCGCTCGTATCTTACAGCAAAAACCAAGATGCCTGGCTGCAAACGGTAAACATCGCTACGGATAGACGGTTTCATCGTTCAGATCTTGCCCAGGTATTTCTCAGTATCATCTTTAGCAAGATTGAGCGCCTTCTATCAGAATCCTCCAAGGTTCCCAATCTTCACAATGCTTTAAACTGGCAGGCAACCATGATCCAGTCTGAAGTTGTACTCCAATTAGAGAACTTTCCTCATGTTTGCCAGCTTGGAGTCGGTCTTTTGAACGAAGTTATCTTACGTAACTACCGGGATTGCCTTGTACACGACAAGTTCCCACTTCTGCTAAGCTATCCTCTTGATGGCTTTATTGTTACTAATGCGGCATTGTCCAACTCGAAATACAGCAGCATCCTATCGCAGCCTAAGCGAAGGTCTGTTGTTCTGCTGCGCTTCTTATATCACCTCCTTGAGAACTGTTGCGCCTACGAACAGGAGAACGGTCCTCTTCAGCTACACGCTGCGAAGACACTCATACTGCTGATGGACGATCCCAGCGGCCCACGGTCATTATTCAAGTGGAGATCTCTCAGGGCCTTCTCTTTCCGTTTCGACAGTCTTCAAGATCTGCAAAAGTACTTATCAAACCACGCCGTCATGGACCGCTATCGTTTGTCTCTTACGGCAGCAGATCTTCTAGACACACCGCTCCTCACAGCAACAGGTTTGGCCGCGTTTAGGAGGCTCGGTCCACTGTTCAGTTGGATTGAAAGAGAGGCAGGTAACGCAATCGCAGTATTCGTTCACTATCTCATGCGTCTGGATACAGCTCCATGTTTGCCAAGCGTCCTGTTCCAGAAATTGAGAGAGAGACAGGAGCTCAAAGAAGCATTGGCAGATCCCGGGGCATTGAGTGCGAGAGCAGTGGAGAGACTAATAAAGCCTTTGACAGTTCTACAGTAACTAAGGTCTCCCTGCTGATTTAAGCTCTCAACCACAACTCTCAACTGCAAATAACACATCTAGCTCACAACTTGTTCTAAAGCAACTCACTTGAAGCAGATGGAGACGTCTACCTTCAATCGGGTAGCTACCCGACAAACTACAGCAAGGGCATGTTTCCGTGGAGACTATCAGCGGGAGGACTTTTTTTATTTCGCACTCACCGCTCCCCCAAGTACCAGGACGCGACATTTGCGTTGACAAGGATTAAATTCAGCTTCCTGTTGCTTTCTGTACCTATATCAAATCGACAACTTTAAAGGTCGGCACTTCTGGGAAACCCAAATCCTCATATCGCCTTGACCATCCTTCTCTATCCATGTTCATATCCGTGAATGCAGGGAGCAGTCCGATACATCGGTGCCGCGGTTTCAACCCTTCGCCTGGACGAGTGATAACTGCGTGTTTGTATGTGATGGTCATATTGGAAGAAATCGGATGAGCAAGGCGGAAGTGATGTTCATCACGGAGCGAGTTGTTCGCCAGCTCACGGGAAGATAACATTCCAAGTAGATCAGTCTTCCCTACGGTAACCAGGACAGGAGTCCAGACCGTTTTAGACCATAGATAGGCGCTGACGCCGATTCCGCAGCTGATCAATGCGCCTAAGCGGACCAAAGTCTTGCTGAATTTTGATGGTTTTCTCGAAATAAGATCCCTTTTGAATGAGTCGGAATCCATCTTCGTGCCGCCCCCGTCAAAGAACCCGAGGACCATGAGGTTGAGGAATCGAATGGCATTGATATGGCGTAGATTTTCATTCTTGGATAATGTCGCTTCGTCGTCTTTCTTTTCGTCTTCGGCCGCGAAAATGGCTTTAATGTCTGGCCAGGCGCCATGCAGGCTCAATTCGCCCCTGCGAGCGAGCCCCCAGGCGAACTCTGAGAACTCAAGGCTCCCTTCCAAAATCCGCAAAGTGGTTGACATGTCGCATGATTCAATGCTGCGGACCACAACCGGGCCTAGTTCTGCTCCTAGTGCACAATCTGTATCGTGCTGAAGTGCACCCTCAGTCGCCAGCCCAAATAGTTTGACCAGATCGCCTAGGAGTTCCGGCTCAGGTACATTCGAAGTTTCCAATAAAGTTCCCTGTTCTCCCACCATGCCCGCTGTGATCTTGGGTAGGGTCGCGCGATCTGCATGCCTTGCTTGCGAAAAGCAATCTTGGAAAAGACGCCCGAAACCCATACCTCGTACCACTTGAGGTGATGGCGCCGAGTACCAGTCATACTGTGACATGGTTGATAGAATGAGATCCCTTGCCTTTGTGGTCCGCCGCGTACTATTGCTTTGGATAAAGAATCCATCTTCTATAGCACCAGACAGAGACAGTCCCCCAGGAAAGTCCCGCGAGACCTCCTTATTGTTCAAGAAGGCGGAAATAAAAGATAGTTGCTCGTCTCCCGATGGTGTCTTGTCTTTTCCGTGCGAAGCCCATGCTCTGGAGAAGGTCCACAACCGGTCCACGTTAGCTAATATGTCACTTTGGCCGCTGAGAATTCTTCCCCAGTCCATATTATTGGATGCCAAATGCCCCTCTTCGCATGTGACGAACTGGATGCGATTCGAGAGTATGCTTTCCTGGAGAGGCCACAATCTCTCAAGTATCCCTTCCTTAAGCAAGTGATAGTTGTGTTCGTCAGTCCAGTGTTTGCACCATCTACGAACACCAGCATTGTAGTCGTTCCAGGTCGAGAGGTTGCCAAAGGCGCGAGCGCAGCACGAAATATAACCTGACCCGTCCCGGATGACAATGGTCTTTTGAGCGCGTTCGAAAATCTGCGGGATTATCGATGTAACTTTGATCCTTTCTTCCTCCTTTTTTTGATCAATGCATAGAACATCCATCCAAAAGTAACTGTCCCCAACAAGGTCCTGCAGGTTATGCTCCAAGAAGCGAGCCTTGGACTTGGAAACCATGACCTGGTCTGTGATTATGTTGAGCGTGGTCCAGTCAGCGTCACCCCAAACATGAGAGAAAGCTATATAAGGGATCTCATGA